CTCTCTCTCTCTCTCTCTCTCTCTCTCTCTCTCGCTCTCTCTCGCTCTCTCTCACTCTCTTGCTCTCTCTCTCTCTCACACTCTCATTCTCGCTATGCTATAGGTTCTTCCTCTGTGATGTCTGTTCTGGTGGCACATTGTTAATGACACTCGTGTCCTTCTCCCTCACAGGTCGTCAGGAAAGGAATATGCGCTGAAAATCATTGACAAGTCAAAGGTCAGGGGCAAGGTGAGTCGACATTGTGACATACGGTGATCAGAATCAGGCAGGTCTCCGACGCAGCGTGGTCTCTCGCCTCCAAGAAGCCACATCACCTCGCAATAAACGAGTCGCCGTTTAGCATAAAATGACTATCTAATCTTGCATTATGTCACACTAGCAATACTTTTTCAAAATGTAAACTGTGAAAATGCACGATAAAATGTGAAAAATTGCATGGGATTCTGCTCACTTTTTGTGGGTAAATGACTGCTTTTTACCTACCAACCACTGCACCATGAACGCAAGTCTCTCAGCTGTTATAGATGTTTTATCTGTTGGAAGCACATTTTTATCCAGTAACGGTATGACAATAACAATTTTTTTTGTTAGTTTTATGCGCACAATGATATCGCCATTTTTTACAAATATCTATGTAATAATACATGTAGAAATGTGACTTAGCAAAGTCCCATGAGTAGATTAATCTGAAGACAGAATCTTGTCGCCGTAGGCGTTGTTGCTCACTTGTTTTCTTCTTGCGCACGCGCCTGTAGGAGCAGATGATCAACAATGAGGTGTGCATCCTGCGACGGGTGAAACATCCAAACATCGTTCAGCTGGTCGAGGAATACAGCACCGTCAATGAACTCTATCTAGTCATGGAACTCATTAAGGTAACGAGGGATGCTGCGGCTGAGGTGGGGTGAGATGCTCGAGTGCTAGGGTGTGGAGTTGGGTTGGATGCTAGGTGTGGTTTATGATAAAGTCAGAGGATGGGGTGGGATAAGGTTTATTGTTGGGTGGGGTCGATTCCTGGCATGGGGTGGGATAAGGTTGTGGGTGGGTGGGGTTGGTTCCTGGCATGGGGTGGGATAAGGTTGTGGGTGGGTGGGGTTGGTTCCTGGCATGGGGGGGGAAAAGGTTTGTGGGTGGGTGGGGTTGGTTCCTAGCATGGGGTGGGAAAAGGTTTGTGGGTGGGTGGGGTTGGTTCTTGGCATGGGGTGGAATAAGGTTGTGGGTGGATGGGGTTGGTTCCTGGCATGGGGGCGGGATAAGGTTGTGGGTGGGTGGGGTTGGTTCCTAGCATGGGGTGGGATAAGGTTGTGGGTGGGTGGAGTTGGTTCCTGGCATGGGGGCGGGATAAGGTTGTGGGTGGGTGGGGTTGATTTTAGCCGTAGGGCGGGATAAAGTTCGTGGGTGGGATTGCAGGCAGTTTATCGGTGGGACGTAGGTGCCGATTCAGTCGTCGCCGTGTTACATCGTTGTGCTGGTTTGTTGGTTGCCGTGACGATGCTGACGGGACGACGTTCTCTTGTTTCAGGGCGGCGATCTCTTCGACCACATTGCGTCGGCGACCAAGTACACGGAGCGTGATGCGAGTGGCATGGTGTTCAACCTGCTCAGTGCGCTCACCTACCTGCATTCCCTCAACATCGTACACCGCGACATCAAGCCTGAGAACCTGCTGGTGAGAGAGGGACGGGGAGGACTGGGGGAGGGAGAGGGAGGGGTGGGGAAGGCGAGCGTGGGGAGGGAGTGGTCATGGTGGGGAGAGGGGGAGGGAGGGAGGTGAGCGTGGGGAGGGAGAGGATGACGGTGGGGAGGGAGAGGGGTGATGGTGGAAAGGGGGAGGATGACGGTGGGGAGAGGGAGAGGGGTCATCATAGGAAAGAGGAGTGGTCACAGTGTGGAGTGGGAGGTGTCATAGTGGGGAGGGGTCAGATTAGACCCACGGTAGTAGGGTACGGTAGTAACGGAATCAGCGATGATTTGTCCGCAACCCGTGGCGCTTAATTCCACGTTGCACATGCGATAAAATCGAACGAGACCAACATGTTATTATTGCTGTCATCACGTTGTCATTCTCTCGCAGGTTTGCGAACACGAAGATGGCAGCAAGTCGTTGAAGCTCGGCGACTTTGGCCTTTCTATGGAGGTGAAGGGTCCCATCTACACGGTCTGTGGCACGCCCACATACGTCGCGCCGGAGATTCTGAAGGAAGTCGGGCAAGTGTCTATCACGGCGAGGAACTAACGCGCGAGTTTGCTTACCGATTCTCGCTCTCTAAACCTCTGTTTGTTACGGACATATATACTAGCAGGTTGCGTTGTTCGGCAGAGTAAGCATCAGTTGAAACAAGTGAACACTTTGGAACAGTAGGTGTGAGCAATGGCAAGAAAAAAGCGTGAATTAAAATGTTTTAATTATTAATAATCGATAAAAGGTTTCGCATCGTATCGTTTCGTGGCCGTAACGTGACATTGCCGTCGTACAAACCCATAAAGCGCGTCGGATTTCCGTCGGCTTTCTCTCTCGTCGCCGTCGCTATGCTCGTAGAGACGTTCTCATGTTTTGCACATCGTCGTTACATGCGTAGAGACGTTCTCATGTTTGT